CCTGGTGAAGGGCCAGGCCTGAAACATTTGGAAAACAATTCAATATAAAACATGGCACTTTTGCTCATATTAGTTAACTTTTTAATGAACACTTCCTTGACTTTGTAAAAGTACTGTTCCTGTTGCTGTTGCTGATAAAGAATAATAATAATATTGCAGCTAAAATGATAACTAAACAGGTATGATTATTTTACTGCTAAATACTTGTAACTAACTCAACATAAATAGTGGTTGGTGGGCTATTTATGAAGCGTCATAAGGTAGATTAATACAGGTTTTATCAGTCTCTTCCTATCATAACCTTAGGCCGTGTCTACATGGAGAAAACTTGTCCTGGGTAAAATGGTCACCCACCCACCTGAGCTACCCAGGGCAACCAACTTACCATACACTTCCCTTCAAAACCTGACAAACAGTTTACATGAGAAACAAAAAAGCGGCCTCTGCTAGAGAGGTGAACCGCAGCCAAGTCACCATCCTAGCAGGGCCAACTTTTCTCCATATAAACACTTTAGCTTGCCCAACTGGGTCAACTCCATCAAGGTGAGACAATCAAAACATGTGCGAGCACTGTTTTGGTCAATCAGAGCACGCATGAACACTGTTGACTAAGCAAAGGGGTCAACTTTTTTCTCATAGAAATTCTTGCTAAAGTTGAGTTGGCTGTGTAGGGTGAATCTTCTACAAGGAACAGGTTTTCTCCATATAAACAGGGCCTTAGTGTGTTTGTACGTCTTCAGGTGCTCTTTAATAATTTGTACTGCTTTTTATTGAATGATGATACTATATTGCTTCTGGAAGCCTTAAATGAATAAATAATTCTGATCCTGAACCATCACAAGCCTGCATAGCTGGCAAGATCAGAGAATGAGACTGCTTTTTAGGAAAAAAAGGTGGGAGGTATTTTTCCCCATTCTTCTCATGGCTTATTTACAGCTACGGTAAATGATCGATTTAGCGCTGCTACTGGAATATGCGCTGCTCTCCAATAAGTGCCGCACCTTTACCAAAAATAACTTAACAAGTGCTGCAGCGCTAATTTGGGTATCTACAAATTAATACCCCACCTTGATATAAAGAGATGCCCTTGGGAAATTACACCTCAACCAACTTGTGAGTTCTAAAGTTTTAATGTAGGGAAACTCTTGAAACCGGGTTCATATAACAGTTCGAGGAGTACATGTTTTAAACTAAATTGTGCATGCCTAGTATGTGCCTCACTTAATTCTCTCTATATTTTCTTCAGTGTTTTACCCATAGTTGATATATGTGCCGCTCTCAAATATGCGGTGCTCTTGTATAAGGCACTGCACCTATAACAGGGAAAAGGAAATAAGCGCCACAGCAGTTAATCGATCATTTACGGAAATTAAATTGCAACAGTGCTTTTGAAATTTATGTCAACAGTGATATGCAAGAAATCAAGCCAACTATGCAGGGTAGAACAGGAGCCTAGGGGGTACTGCCTCATATGCCCTATACACGGATGTGCCATCTGGACAGGGTATGGTTTACATCTTCTCTGTCCTAAGCAGGGAATCTAATTTCATGTGAGTCTGTCCTCATTGTAACCAAGTTATTGTCTGCATGATTGAGTTGATTTGTTTGGTGAAACTTATTTGTGCTCCAAGTCTTCAAAAGCAATGACTATGATGCGAAATTTTTCAATTGCAATTGGAGCCAATAAATGACTTAAAACAAAACGGTTTTCATTTTGTTGTTTATCGCAACTAGGATATATGTTATTTTGTCCTAAACAGGGTCAGGTTTTTAAGCCCTCAGCAGCTCACCTTTACCCAGGTTTTTACCTTTACTCCGGCCTGACAAAAGATTCACCCTTCAGATTTCATTCTTCAAAGGGCGCCCCCCGAATTCCAGCCATCTTTGGGAGGGAGGGAGCATGAGGGAAGGAGGGAGAAGGGTGTAAAAAAATGGTATGTCCAAGGTGTAGACATTAGGGGAATATTCTTCGAGAAGCACATGGCCAAAGTGATCTTGTCTTCTTACTTCCTCCACCCCTGAGGAAGATTCTTGACTTTGCTCAACCTATTTTACCATCTCCCTGGATGACTCAGGGGCCTACCCCTCATGGGGCAAGCCGATGATGCTATACTATTTCACTGACTATTTTAACAGGGGCACCCAACGACAATTTTCGGAAGAATATCTGTTCGGAAGACGATTTGAGATCTAGAATTTTCGAAACATTTGTTGTAAAATTTCTTGCTTGCCTGCCTCTCCTAGGATTTTCGAACATCCAAAAAATGGTATATTTGCCTATTTTTAACGGATTTTTACCCTAAAAAGATCACCTAGAATTTTCGGAAGCCTTTTTTCTGGCTGAAATTTTCGAAAAGGTAAGTTTTGATCCCTATAATTTTCGGATCACTAGACTTTCAGCTAGGAAATCCGAACAGATGAAAAATTTTTAGGGGATAAAAATATGCCTATATCTACCGTTTAAATACTAAAATACGTTTAACAATGCTATTTTTAAGTGGTTTTGAACTATATTCTCGTTGGGTGCCCCTGTTTTAAGTAGTCTTACACTCTTTGCATGTAGGCATCCGAGCTCGTGGTTGGCAACTTCTAATTCTCTTATCTGGAGAAAGCAAAGTGAAATTAGCACGTCTTAACCTAGAAAAATCGATAAATGTTGTTTTTTGATTACCTCATATAAAGTACGTGAGATCTTCGAGTCAAGTAATTCCGGATTTGCACTGCTCGGTTTTTCTCCCCCGTCCGCCATTTTGAAATATGGCAGTGTTAACAGTCATGTGATCAAGATTCACTAATCACTGATAAGTACGGCTCGACACGCATTTCTAGACTTCGCCCAGGAGTTCGCCCTCCCTACGGGATTAATTTGCCTTTTTGCCCTTAGTTGGTTTGAATTAGAAAAGAACCCGAGGATAGGTTTAAATCAATTTTTTTCAGTTCACAGTACTTTTAAAAGATAATATTTTAATAGTACAGTGCAAGATTGGGGAAAGCGGCGTGACTGCTTTGATAACCCATCTAACACAATTTAATATTACGCTCCAATCTCTATAAGCTGCCAGTTAAAGGAGAATTCTTAACCTTCTAGCACATGCCGTGGGGGAATTGCTGTTCGGTTCCCAGCTTAACGCTCCCACATGTGTTGTATGGAGCTGACAGTTAAAGGAGTGTTTGAACTCGTCTAGGCAGGGGCACCTGACACAACCTACTTTATAATAATAAGCCTATAAAGTTGGCGAGACAGCTGTTACAGTGTTATTTCCTTTGCGCTTACGTATTGAAAATCGTGGCTAGGATGTGAGTCCTGTTCCTCCCAGTTGAGAGAGTTGCCCTATTCTCAGTAACTCACTGTAAACAGAACAGTCACCCAATCGCTTTTGAGTAGCCATTTGTACATTCCACGGGGGTGTCGCTACAGGTTTGACTATATAAAATTCGAAGAAAATCCCTCAGTTATTTCATCAGTGTCGTACAGGGTTTAAACAGAAAAACACAAACGTCTGTGGCCTGAGACCAGGCTCCTTGGTAGACAAAACGCAAAACGTCGGCGAGTGAAGAGAGCCTTTCCTTTCTCAATGTAATCCCCCGCTCGGTTCGCCGTTTTCTTTACGCGCTAGCCTGCGAACAAGCTTTCCATTTGGGGGAGTCGCGAGAAATCACGCGAGAGCAACATGCGAAAGGAGACGCGAGTGCGTGGAGCGCGACTCGCTTAGTTCGCCATAATAGCCCACGTTCGATACATTAAAATTCTAACATGACTCCCAGACTTTCAGGTCATTTTTTTTTATATTTGGTTTGGTTCTCAAGTCTCTTCTGGGAATTGCGCGACTATGGAGTCGTGAAAAATTTGCAATTTTGACCCCAAAACCTCGGAGTCATGTTAGAATTTTAATACATCGAACGTGGGCTATTGGAGAGCTTGCTAGCTACAATCTTGGACAAAATAAATGGAAAACCTAGACCCCCCCCCTCCCCCCCCAATCAAGGATGGGAAAATGGCGCGTTTTTGGCCTTCGCGCGGTTTCATCCTTGATTTGGGGGGAAGGGGGGTTTGCTGTTCCATTTTATTTTGTCCAAGATTGTAGCAGGCTATTTGCGCACTTGTCCCGCTATTCGCCCTTTTTCCCCAATAAGAAGCCTGGTCGGTCCCAATCTAAACGTACTAAAGAGGTCACACCATGCATATGCATAGTTTTCATTCAGAAACTCTCAACATGTTGCTTGAGGCAACTTATATTATTAGACTTAAAAGTCTAATAAGTGACCCCCGGTGTGTTTCACAGTGTTTGCCAATAAAATTCGATTGATTAACTTCTTTTCATTTTTTACTGGCATGATTACTTATAATCAAATGTTTAAGAACTGATATCTTTATGAAAAATGATCATTCTTTCAATTTACAATAGACCGATAGAAACGTGCGTCAAAATGCCCTTGTCAGCTGTCTCATTTCGTGTAAACACTAAGAGTGGTTTCGTTTGGCATTTACTTAGTACCCAATTAAGTCTTGTGTCCGTCCGCAGATCGTTGAATGCTTTAGATAACTAAGATATCGATCAGTACTGAAGAACAGTCAAAAGAAAGATAACCGAACAAAAAGACAAAAGCCATGTTACGTAAAGTAACCCACAGAAAATGTTTCCTGTTAATGTTGGTTTGACATAAAATTTATTATGTACATTATTTACAATAATTATACAGTTTATACAATTCATTGGGTGTTGACTTAGCCAATGTTTTTTCATTAAACGTTGATTGACCGCAAACATCCTTACATACTGGGCAATTTTTTAAATATTTTGTGACTGTCTGCCGACCAAAATTCTTTCACGTACCAAGATTTGCCATGGTCCTCGGTTTATATTTACGACTATGGCTTCTTAACGAAAGAAAAGAAAAATCACTTTATCCGTCTTGGATCGGCAGTTGCGCAACTTTCCGGGTTCAAAACTAAGAGATAACTTTTTCTAATCCATGATAAGAACAACCGGGATGACCTGTTACAAATTATCAGAAACACCACCTGAAGAAGAGTCTTGAGTCATTTTGCGATAAACTTCGTCTCTTGTGTCTTGTTCTCCAAGACTACAGGGTATAGATTTCATTACTTCGACCGATTATCGGTGAAATTTCCCCCTCTTTGAGGTCCACTTCATAACTCAGATAATTAAGACGATTTCCAACTTCGACGTTACTCAGCTAAGATCACCTCTATGTTTTGCTACTTGCGGTACATTAGGCAATCGCCGTTTGGACTTCACTTGAATATTACTGTTTGCAGTCTGTTCTTTTTCAACTTGTTCTTGGCTGATTTCAGCAACGTTCTGTTGCGACTCAATGCAATTTGGCTCTGACTGCAAACACACATTGCTAAGCATATCAGGGTTAGATTGACTCCTTGTTGAAGCAACACGAAATCTCATTTCTTCCATTCCTCGAAGGTTGCGAAATATCGTGCTAAGAGCTCGCTCCATCTCTTTCTCGTAATCAAAAGTGGTGGTCCCTTTCTCGTATAGTTTGTGCATGGCGTCCATTATGCGAATGATCCTGCGTCAAAGTGCACTACCACAATCCGTATTTACACTTTAATCCCATTCCTCAGAGCTAATGAGCTTTTCTCTTACACGTCAAAGTCACAATCAGTGTTTACTTATGAATAGCTTAGACAGGTGTTGGTTACAAAGCATCTGAGCTTTAAGTCTTAAAGCAATTTTAAGTAATGAAACCGCAAGATACAAAATATACTGCTTGAGTGACGAGGTTTTGGAAAAAAAAATGCAGTAAATCACGCACACCCCAAAGTTTGCTTAGATACCATCGTGCAAGCTATGATGCACATTTTTGATATACTGAAATTTTATCTGTTGTCGGGGCAGAAGGCAACTCTATTTAAAAGAAATCATCTAATAATATCTTGCAAAACACGACTCTTTTTTGTCTGTCTGCCGACTGAATCTGTAACTCGAGTAAATGCTACTGGGTCATTGAAGCTTGACACAACGTGGTCAACGTCCAATAAACCAAGCGAAGTTTCTTTTCATTTTATATAAAACCCATTTAGATCTCTGGGGATTAAGTTCATGAATGATATACGTAGTTTTCACTACGGAGATTATTTCTTTTGGTACGTGCTTCACTCGAAATCTCGCGATATGGGTGTTCTGCAATGTTCCATATTCACGTCTGTATTCATATGACGTGATGTGCATTTTATATTATGGACATATTATGGACTATGATATAATTATTAATAATGAATAATTAAGAAGCAGTTAATTACTTAGAAGCGTTTCGTTACTTAACCCTAAAGAATTTAGAGTTATCAAATGCGACTTCCACTCAGACAACTCTCGGCACTGGTGCTTGTTCAACGAACTGTGGTTTCTTTAACTTTTCTAGTTTGAGTGGCGTAGTTGCAAAAGACCTACCTTTGTTTGTAATGAGTTAACAGAATTTCATTAACTAGGAGACTAGAGTTTAATATCAGTGAAACAATTTTATCAGACAAAACGTTTACCGCCAAGAAACGGGTGTTACACGCTTTCTTGTGGTATACGTAAGTGGAAACAGTACATGCATAATAAGAGAAAAAAAGGTGGACGAAGTTTTAAAGGCGGTTTTCCATTATAGTTGGAAAAGTCCATTAAAAGCAATTTACCGCGGCCAAATGCAGCACTACTGAAAAAGGCAAAGAAAGAATACACTTTTTCATGAGTTTTCGGGTTTGGAGAGTCTTCTTTCTTCAGAGAATTTAAGCCAATACGAAGCTTTCATTACTACGAACCGAACTGACATATATCGAACCAACAAACAAATAACTGTAACCACTTCAGTAAAGCAAAGTCATTTCGAATTTCAGTAACTTTACTTAATTGACCGGCCCTACAACGAGCAAACGGGAAATTCATTACTACTCGAGATTCATGATTGTCTATTTTTCAAGAGCTTTTTTAACTTAGCACTAAATAATTAATCTTACTAAGTGGTAAAATTGTTGCCATTAGGACACCGTCATAAACCCACCCGGAAATGTTTAGGGTAATTCATTACATTTTTTCTTTGTATAATAGTCGAATGAAGGCCCCTTCCACACGAATCCAGATATTTTTGAAACCACAATTTTTTCACACGAATAGGCCTTACGTCCATACGAAACGAGTGAATCCCCTCCTTATCCATCAGTTGGGTGAGGATATTGAAGAAATTGAACTGTGCTGTCCAACAACCAATAAGGCTAAAATAAACTGAGGGCAAAATTCACGTTTATGTCTTAAGGGTACGTTCGTGATTCGGTGTTACAAACTGCAGAGAAAGATCATAGATCTTACGAGCTATGTCGTGATTACAGTTGACGTGCCTCAGAGCATAAAGCTCAGTGGGCGTTAATTAGTAGTTCTTTGTTGCGGTACGTATTGAAACGGAACGTTCTTGGACAAAGCGAGTTTCTTAACTAAGTTTGCATGCAAAAGAAAGACTGTTTTGCTGACGTCGCAAGCCGTTAATTATAAACAGAAGCGCGCTTTATGATTGGTAGTTGAAAACATCAAATTACACGTACTTCATTGAAAGAAGCATTCGCGGTCTTAGTGCGCTCCGATTATAAAGTGTTTCACTGCCAATTTAACATACTTCTGTTTTACTCGCCTACGTTTGCCATGAAGAACGGTAAACAAGTAAAAGGCTGTCGATTAAAGAAAGGTACAAATTATGACGAGGCAATGAAGGAAGCATTCATGGAGATCTTTGAGAATTTCAAGGAGATTGACAAGGACATTAACTTAAAAAAGACGAAACAAAGTGTAGATTTTGAAAGAAGAAGAGGTAGCGCTCCAGCCTCAGCACTTAGACAAGAAACAGCGATTTTAGCGAACACAAAAGAGGAACTAACGAGAAAATTTTCTACACCTGTGCGACCCAAACCGAGTTTTACGGAAGAGGTTTCAGCAACTTCGTCACCGGCGCCGCCACTGCCATCCAAGCAAACTCTATCGACAATGCAGTGGCTCTTGCCATGCTGGGAAGAAGAAGAGGAGATTTAAGTACATACCTAAACTCGACTTTTTCGCTGTGTAAAAAAGCTGTTCAGTACCGATATTGTACGACCGTGATTCCTCAAATGTTGTACACATGTAATCACAAGGCGAGTTATGAAGACAATGCTAAAACCGTACAAACTTGCAACTGTGGCTGGAGAATGTTGGGCCTAAAAATTTTTCATCGGCTGCCCGGCCGTGCAAGAACGAAAACAGGCCGTGGTTAACAAGACAATGGTGAACGAAAAAATTTAGGAAAGTGACGGAAGTGTAAAATAAACCGACAGAGACGATATGCGGTTCCTAGTATTCTAACGTTCTTTTACACTCCGCGCGCGTTTCCTGGTTGAAGTTAGATTCCACCTTGTAATGATCTATGATCAGCAACTCAGGAAAGAACGTCAGTATTCACCTCCTGCTGACCATGATTAACTTGAAAATCAATTATTTTGAAATTTACAATCACCCACCTACTTAACTCAATGTTGACGTGAAGTACTACAAGGAATGGAAGCAAATTAGAAACTCAACTGAGTTCTGACTATTACGTGCTCACATAAGTTATACTAAACTTAAATATGGATGGTGAACGACGAAAAGTTTATTCATTCTTTCTTTCAAGATAGTTGTGATTAAATCAATATTAGTAATTCCATGAAGGAGTATAACTTAACAATAAAATGCAAAGTCATAGTTATATGACAGTTTAATGATGTTGTAATCTGTGATTGTTTGAGCAAGTTTTCACTAACCCTTGTAACAGTGAGAAAAAAAATAGCCGGCGACTGACGAGACCATCTGATTTAGAAGTGGCGGGACAAACTACGTGTCTAAAAGTAAGGCTAGAAAATGTTTGCAATACTTGCGTGGGCCGCTGCTTAAGAACTCTGTTATTTTCTCTTTGTTTCTTTGTTTGTATCAATATCACTGCCTTTTGTATAAAGTTCTAGTGTCATAAGTAATATGGATCAAGTATATTGCGGGGTCACTAAACATTCGTGACTGTGAAGCTCTACTTATGTCTTCACGAGAAGCGCTTTTTAGGTAAAGTAGTTTTATTAGAATTTTGGATTCGGTTCTTTCAGCTAAAGAGCTAGCAGCATTAATTTCATAAGCATTGATCCAGAAAAGAGGCACTTGAAAAGGAGTTTGAGATATTTCAAGCATGTATCAGAGCCAGCCAGCTTTTCAAGTGAGTTAGTTGTTTACACATCACAAGGCGGATGCAGGCTTATGAACCAATAAAAAGACGAAGGAAATATATGTACTGGCTGCCGAGCATCGCAACTGGTTTGAAGAGGTTAGAATCAGTGCAAACCTGAAACTTGCTTGACACGCGCATTGAGGCCCGAGGCTCCGGGGCAACCCTTACACGAAATGTGCCGGGGTACTCATCTTCTCGCTTAAGCGGGATGGGGGGAATTAGAGATTTTGGTATCACTTATAAGGAGTTTAAGACGCAATACCAATAATTTGATGTAAAGGACATTGGTATCGCTTATGTCTGTGCTTAAAGAAAGCCATGATAAGAAGAAACGAAGAGATACAGGGAGGATTAGAAGCCTGGGGCCGATTTAAGTCATATAACGTGATAACGAGTTGTGTTAATCGTTGCGTGTTTTGTTTGAATACTCAGCAGATCGATCGAGCGATTTTGATTTTTTTAAGTGACATCATAATAGCCTACTAACAGCGGATTGCCTGTCGTTTTTCCCCGTGGTGTAGTGGGTAGTTTGGCACTTGCAATTGTCTGGTATGTGAAGGACTGAGGTTGCTGAAGAAATGAATTTTACTTTATTGTTTTTCTTTTATATATTAATAGCAAATCTCCAAGTCATCTCCATGTGAAAAGATGGTTTGTTCATTTAGCAGGGAAATGGGAAAAGAGGACCTGGGAACGGGTATGTTAGAATGAATTTTCATTTCTGTCGTAATCGGTAACGCCATAAATGTTCAGCTGGCTGGTGAAAAAAGTGTCTCGGCATACTTTGACGCTTATTCACTGTACTGAATAAGATCCCACCAAAGGGAACAAAACCTTATACTTTATAGACGTCGCGCCGTTCGTCAGTCTGCTAGCCCTGAAACGAGTTTAAAGACAAGGCAACACCAAAATGTATTGTTACAGTATTAGTACTCCCGCCATTTATTGCACATTACTTATTGATCTTGAATGGCTTGCTGCTGTGTCTATAGCACCCTGCCACCTATCTGTTTTTATCCTGCGAAAAAAAAAATCGCCTGATCGCAGGTTAATGGTTAATCCGTTTTAAGACAGACCATGAGGAGGACGATTGACATATCTCTCCCCTCCCCCCACCCCCTGCAGAAAAAAGAAAATCTTGTCCGCAAGAACTACGTTCATTCGACACGTCATTGTTTTTAGGCGATACATTTTAGGCAAGCTCCCGTTTTCAAACCAAGTGCCCGCAACTTGTTCTTACGATGGATACAAGGTACCAATTAAATCGTCAGCAGGAGCCTATTAGGCTGCTAGCCACTAATCAGTTACGTTTAAATTTAAATTTCAAAGCCACTTTTCTCTTAAGCGTGAAATATATAGTACTGCCATTGAGGAAAGACTAGAAATTTACAAAAACGTTGATTACTTATTAAGGTACCCCGGGATAACAGTGCATTTTTGCCGTAGTGCCAGCCTTAGCATTAAAATAGCTCATTTTAACTTTAACTTTAATTTTCACTGAAAAACCACTTCCGTTTTTGTGACCAACTTTCGGTATCTGTTTATCAGATAAAACTCTAATTCTATTGATCAGGAGCTTGACTTATGAGTACAACAACTGAAACACTAACAGGCAAGAAAAACAAGCCATTATGGGATTTGAAACTGCTAAAAGGCCTCTCAACTTTGTTAGCAAGTCGCTGAAGGGACCCGTTTTTATTGTGAGACCCGTATTAGGTAGAACTATCCACCACTTCGCCAGAGTCCGTTTCTGCGCCACAGTGACATGGGTTCCGCTTAATATTTGCGAGTTAGAATGGTATCCCTTTGCGGGCTCATTTGTTCTGTGTTACTCATATCTTGTTGTTAGGCTGAAAAGTATGACATTAGCAACTTTCGTAAGCATTTTTGTCCCCCTATAAGAAATTACAGTTGTCGACTACAAATCTCACCCCACGTTTAATCTATTCCTCTTTGTTTTCTATGTTGATTTCAATAATAGCCTTGCAAACTAGGCAAATTCCATAAGCCAAATTAAACTCATCGACTCTGCAAAATGGGCCCGTCAGCATGATTTAGTTATTTTTCAGCTGACTTTGCACTTACTTCTTTTGTTCTTTAATCACAATGGGAGTTCTTATCTTGCCCTTAAATCATTACCCTGACATGCTTCAAAGAAATACTTATATCTAGCGTTCTGTTTCACGGGCCTCAAAGACCGTAGTTACAAACCTTAAGTGCCGTTTTCAATTAGCCTTTTTACTGGAATAAAAGATTTTCAGTTCCATTGTATAAGTGCGCAAAGCCGAGTCCTTGCCGGGTGACTTGTCTGTAAGAAACAGTTGGCCAGAGACTTGTAGCCTTAGAACACTCGATCGTTTCCATGTCAGTTGATAAGTGTAAGAGAAACAGTCTCATGGCACATTGTCCGTTTCTGTCAGGGTATTCTAAGTAATTTTACAGTAGCATTACAGTATTCCCGTAGAGCCTTGCGGAATCGGTGGCGCCAACGATCGAGAGGGCCAGTATTTGTGTGCATGACAAGCTCCACCAAGTCACTATACACTTCGCCAATGGATGAATCAGCTCAAAAACCTCAGTAGAGGCACACTGGTCTCGGTAAATAATGGCTACTTAACAACACCATGACAAAGTGATAGGATAGTAGTCTTCGACAGCAAAATGTTTTGATGAAAAAAGGTTGAAGAATCTGGTGCGCAACGAGGTGAAATAAATTGAAATACAATGACTGGCAACATTTTCATGTTTTTTTTTCTGATAATGCAGATTTCTCCTGACCATCAGTTTTTCAGCGTCTCCGGGTAGGCTCGTTGAGAAGTTCGACTAACGAGAGCAAAAAAAAAAAAAAAAATTGCCCGTCTTAGAGGGGGGACACGGGGGGGGAGAGGTCAAAAGGGGTTCCTTCTCCACGGGGTGTCGTGAATACCCTTGCCTTCTCTACTCCTTCCACTCAACTGAGACACTGGGGGCGGCGAAAAAGAAAAGGATAAAACACATAAAAACAAAAATATCAATAACAAAAAAACAAAACAAAAAGGTACGACAGAAAAAAAAAAAAAAAAAAAAAAAATAACTGACAAATTTTTTTTTTTTTCTTTTTTTTTAAAAAATCAAATTTCTCTATAACATAAGTTTTTAAGCGTTCCCGGGAAGGCACGTGAAAAAAGTCAAAAAACAAGAAAAAAAAAAAAAAAAAAAATTGACCGGGATTGAGGGAGGAAACGGTAGGGAGAAGGTCTAAAGGTGTTTCCTTTCTTTGGGTGCTGACGTCAATCCGTTGGCCTTGTCTCCTTCATCCTTACACATCAGTTCGAAGGGGACGAAAAGAACATGGGACTAAGGCCCCGGTGTCAAGGACCCTTTGACTTGCACCGTCACGTCATTAGGGAGCTTTAGCAACGACGACAGCGACGGGAAACAGGACGTTAAAGAAGAATTAGGTTTATTACGTAAAACAACAATTTTGCACGTGCATCACGCTTTTTTGTACATTTCTTCACCGTCCTTGCACGACTACGACGTGAAAATGCCTAATTGCAAGTTTTATGGAGGACGTAAATGAGCGACAACGAATCTCTTTCTCTCTCTCTAAACTTGAGTGCGGTCCTCAAGAAATCAACTCCAGGGTAATTCGCCTACACTTGCCATTTTCAGCAAATTGAAATAAACTCGACAAAGACTGAAAAAACGGGAATTCATTTTAAACCTGACGTTTTCGCTGCCGTTGCCGTCGTCGATGCTAAAGCTCCCTAATTGATCTCGGTAGGCGAAGTGAGGTCAAAAGTAGACTGAAGCAGTGCATAATTATAATGTGCTCTCAAAGCTGACGTCCGATCTCTTTTTTCTGGTCCCTTCGCAATGTAGCTACTAGCTGCAAGAGGGGGGGAAACTGGTACAGTTTTCGTTTTTTTTCTTTCAATTTTTTTTTCGTAACCGCCTCCCTCCTCCTCGCTCTACTTCCAAGAAGGAAGTTTCTCTGACTAACTCCCACTGAAACTGACGCTTGCTACGTAGGTTTCAAGTATAAGACTTGGGAAAAACTAAGGTGGTCTTCCAATACGTCATTATAACGCAAATTGAAGATAGCATTTACTCTCCGAGGTAAATTAATGCGGTGTTGGTTTTTAATAATGAACTTGTTCGCGTTGTGGTCTATTCAGCATCTGCCGGTTTGCAGCGACAAACGAAAATTTGGTTTGGTTAACGGATTTGCCTTATTTAATTATCTATACAGTTATAAGAATGGGTGGGTTTTAACGCCTTTTCTCGCACCTTCGTTGATGCCAAAAGACATTTTGCGCAATATAATTATGTTAACATACGTTTTGTTATAACCAAATTGAAATCGTTGTCAATTACTAGTCAGTTCTTTAATAGTCAACTGGACTATGACAGAATCCCCTTTGTTTAAAGTTCCTCAATGTCTGTTTGATCTTCTCATAAATAAAGTCAATATTTTTCCTATTGAAAGCTTATTTAAGACCTAATCGGCTTATTTCAGAGTTCTGAATGCAAATGTATAATATTTTGATTGATTTGACCTATTTTCAGCATAACTTCTCTCTGAAATAAAATCAACATGACACAAGCTTCCTTGTCGCAAGATTAACCAAGCATAAACACGTGACTTCAAACTTGGCAAGGGAAAAAACACACTTCGTAAAAATAGTTCTTAAAGGTTTGTATTTAAAAATACTTATAAGTCATAGCAGCACCTTAACAAAGTCATTGCCATCAAAAATACCTGTTAACATGGTATAGCCATGATTTAACGTAATAATAGTTAGCGGGATTTAACCGTGATTTAGCAACTTGCTTTTAAGGAAAAGTTTCTATCGATTATTTCATAGATCTAATAATAAGCGTGTTTTAGCTTGCACTAGCGACCTACGTAACAATAAAAAACTAGCATATCTCTGACCTGACCGTATTTTTCGAGGAACTTAAAGCTTTCGGTGAGATCTCAGAATTACTTTCCCCTAGAGCACTTTACACGACAAGCGGTTTATTTTGGTAACCGTCATCCTCTATCGATTAACAATTAACATTACTGCACGTCTTAGATCTCGAACCAAAACTCAATGTCCTTTCCCGTCTTAGCAAGACCGCTTTAGTGGGTTTCTGTAGTTAAAAAGGGGAAACATAAAAAAAAACTTTCTCAAAAGAGATAATTATTTTTATAAGCCTGACAATTTCAGACAACTTTCGGTGATCAGGATAAATTATTGAAATCTCTACTTTCTGAAACTGTTTGACTTTTACAGGAAGTGGTAATGAATAGAAGGAGCTTGCTGGCAGAAGTTTATTTTTATATCATAATTATTATGACCCTGACTCTTAATTCTTTTTACTAAGTATAGAGAGAAAGAATTAAAGAATTACGCATCAAAGGGGATGGTGTTGTAATCACAAAAGACTGATGTCACGGTGTTTAGTTTTTTTGTGCCTTGTTGCACGCAACTTCACTATGACGTAAGGTGCTGCGGATTCAGCGAAATGAGTTTAACCCCCAAGTCTTCAGTTGGAGGTATATACAACGCCTACTTTTATACTTATAATTTATAGCTTCAATATAGCTATAAATATTTGACAGTCTACAGTTGTCGCTGAATTAACTACAGTCGGACCCACAAGCGGCCCGACCTAACAGTTGCACTGTTTGGCGGTCGCTTTGAACAGGGGCGGGCGGTTCCAAGTAAAGTGCCCGGGAAAATCATATTTCAGTACTTTGGACTCAGTGATCGTGCAAGTTCGAAAACAATAATTTGTTTTATTTAGATATATAAAATCTCGTTCTGTATATTTTTAAAATAAACTTAAAACAGAATTTGTTCATAACAGATATGTCTATTCATAGTTAATCAGTTGCCTTCACAAGATGGGGTCAATCCACATAGATTACGGCCGGGAAGAACTCGACCACAGAAACAGTCGTATTCAATCACAGAAATGTTGTTCGTTATTTCCGGCTCTATAGTTCTATAATGATTGATTTGGAGCACCGTTTAAACTTTGCCCTACATCATTGTTAGGCCAAGCAATAATGTTCAGAGAACTTCCACCTACAAAGTAGTACTTAAATCGTTCGTATCTTCACGCGGAGCTGAGTAAAACTGACATCATTCGCGGATTAAGTTTTCTGCCTCTGTGTAGTTCTACACTGAAACAACACAGCATAGCCATCAGTGAGAATATATCTGTAGCCAGTGAAAGCAGTTTAAAAGTTTTTCACTCCTTCTTTTTTATCTTGTGGGTCTGGATTTTTCCAGCTTTCAGTCTTGTACATTTGTCTTAAAGCCAATATTTTTCGCCTTAGTTTATTCTGCAGTGCTTTCTGCGTCGTCATGATCAATAACTCACGCTGTCTCCTGTTCAACACACGGTTTATAACCACAGCATCGTCGACAACTTAATTTCAACCGGTGATGGAGGCGAATGCAATTTTCTTTTCAGGTCTGTCGTGTTAGGAAATGAGTTGGGTTGCACGGGTGCAGAGATTTGTCTTGTTATTGTCTCTCTTGGTTTCCTAAAAACTTTTGCTCCATCTCTAAGTACTAGAGTAGAAGGAGCGCTGCCTCTTCTTCTCTCGAAATCTATTTTCAGTCTCAGTTTCTTCTCAGTGTCCTTTTCAATTTCTTTAAGATTCTGAAAGATCTCGACAAAGGCCTCTTTCATGGCTTCTTCATAACTTACACCTTTCGGGTTTTTGCTTTTCATCCCTGTGGTCTTCGTGCAGCTCTCCACGTACACGGCAGCTGAAACGTGTGAAAACCTTCTGGTGAAAGTGAAAGCCGGCTCAATTCTGAACTTTTGAGCTAAGTATTTCAAAATTTAAACACAAGGATCACTTAACCGGCTAATACGCCTCTTATAGTTTGTAGCCAATCATATTTCAAACTGCCCTTTGACAAAGTCGCGGTCAACAGTTCTTTAGAAATAAAAAGTTTACTGTTACGCGTGTTCACTAAAAGGCGTCTCCGTAACGCACGTGAGCCAGATATGGGAGTAATCGTTCTACGAAAATGAAGCTATATGAAGGCAGTTTAATGTCTCCTCCTGTTTATCTTTAAGTAGAGATAGCAGTATTCTCCTGTCTGCTTCTCCAGTTTATAAGCCCACATTTTCAGGGGCACCTACCGATTGTTTTCTGCAAAATATCTGTTCGAAGAAGCAAATATTGCTTATTACCGCTCCACTGATTTTCGATTTTCGTTACGATTCTCTGAAGTTTAATCTTTCACATTTTCCTCCCCTGATTACTGCCCCTATATAAGCTATATTTCGTACAAAAAGAAAACCTAAAATTTTTGGATTCAAAAATAAAATGTGATCGAGAAAGGAATCAGAAAAGTTTTCACCTTCGTGAAGCATTAACTGATTGCATGTAGCATTTTCGGGAAAATAACACTAAAGTCCTTAAATTTCGAAAAGACTCAAGTTGCCTTTGACGACGGAACAGATACTACTTTCCGCCAAAGTGTCGCCCAGAATGCATTGTCGTGAATGCCGAAGGGCCGTTCTTCACGATATCACAGTTTTAAAGCAAAACAGGGTTTATTTCACAGCTTCGATCCTCACAGTACAACGGCTCGCTCACACACTACACAAAATCGTGACTTTCTTGAATCTATAAGCTTTAGATTTTAATGCGATCTGTCATCAAGTTCTCTGTCGCTCTGACAGACGAGTGAAACTATTAATAACAAAATCAAAGGAATAAAATCACGCCATATCACAATCACGCTACACTCTTGCTTCATAACAGCATTTCTAGATATCAAAAAGTCCTCTGGATAACCTAAAAAGTGTTAACAGTGTATTTAGGAGGAAATCGTCGTTGGGTGCCCTTGGAAACCTTTCATGTCACTCTGAAAAATTAAACTCTGCAATGATTTAGTCCTTGGTCGTTTGATTCCATTATCGGTGGCAGCTTGTCGCAGTCTTGTTGGGTTTATTTAACCCACACCAGGGCTATACCGTTTTTAGCTGCCCGAATGATAAAACATATATATTTATCCCAGGCCAAAGGCGAAGCTCACATTAATAAATTTATAGGTCACTTCAACAAACAATAACCTTGTAACCATGGCAAAGAAATCCACTTGGAGTTGAGCCTGCGATCAGTTGAAAACTGTTAACTTGTCAGCGGATAATTTCAAGTGGGTCGACACCTAAGCCCACCATACGGTCATGTGATACTGGTCAGTGGATATATCAGTGCAATATCAGGTTAAAAATATAAATCTACAACGACAAAGCGTTGAGTGGTGCGGTGCCGGATCTCACAGTTGTCTACCTGGATCAGTACAATAACAACTTGAAAACCTTTTTGAAAACCGGGTTAGCAAAACAAATCAACCCATTCTACTACTTAACAAGAAAAAATCATTCAAAAGCCGACTAGAAGCCTTTATTTGACGCCGGGCAGTAAGTTAGTGGTCCTAGAAGCATTTCACGAGTTCAAATTTAAAATGACGCAAAGAACATTAGAACATATATTCAGTAATCTGACTCCGTGAAGTTTGAAACCGGGACGTGTCATTTTGCATATTCATAATGTCTGCAAGAGATTTCGACAAAATGTGCTTAGCAGAGGGCAAGATTCTGGTTGGGCAACTGGCAAGAGTATAGTCCGCGTACTTTATTTAGAGGAATGGAAAATGTTTCATTTTCAATTTCGAGGGCAGTCACTGGATTGAAAAAGAAAGACTCGCTGTAATTACCGGATAGATACTCCGTAAAATTATAAGTAGTAGGTGGTATTTTGGATGCCAATTTGCGACCAACAGAAGAAAAGGGGATGTTAAGAACATCTAAAATTTTGGTGGGATCATCAGTATATTTATTACGTACCGTCAGCGGATCAGATCAGTGCTTAGAGTTTTTCTTAGTGCGCTTTGTACGGTTTATTAGGAGAAAAATGCCAGCCCATGTGTTTTTCATATTTTTCATTTTTTCGTTAAAATGAGTATAGTAATACAGTAATAATACTTTGTCGTGAGAGAGTTGAAATTTTTTTCTGAAAATTTTATATAAATCTATATCACCTAAGTAGCATCGGATTGTTTTTCGATCACCTTGATTGATTTCCTTATCTGATTCAAGGCTTTGGGATTTGTTTTGCTCTTCGACGGGATAGAGTTATGATAGGAGCATGTTTGTTTAAAGTTTTGTTTAGCTTATTATAGAAAGTAAGAAAGATCGATCTGCGTTATTTTGCACATTGCAATCCAAATTGATATCGCAAAGATCAGCTATGAAGTCATTTTCTGAAAAGTTTGAGAAATCACGTTTTTTTGTTTTCCAGTTAAACATTTGTTCTTTAACAGAGAGGAGAGTACAGAATTGTGACGGGGATCGCTAACATTGGAAACAATATTCCCACTGGTGATAATATAATCAAATCTATTTAATAGGATATTGTCAATTAACGTAGCTGAATTATTATGGACACGGGTTAGTTTATCAATTGTCGGAATAAAAGAAAATCTTTGTAATGAAAGTAGAAAATTATGCGCATAATTGCATTTTTCGACACCGAGTAGGTTTATGTTGAACTGCTTGACCCATGATAAAGACCGATTTATTTGAGGCCGGGAGTCTTTCCAGTGTTTCTTCAAAGTAATCTTGAAAGCATTGTGGTGAATTATGCTGCCTGTAGAAAGTCCGCAGATTATATTCAGCGGCACCAGCGACTATTTTCTGTAAAATATCTGTTCGGAGAAGCAAATATTGCCTAGAATTTTCCATGAACTTGAGGACAATTTACAATTTTCGAAACTTATCTTATAAATTCCCTTCGATTTCTGAAGTTTAACTTTCAAATTTTACTTTCTAAGTTAGGTTATTTTTCGTGAAAAAGGGACATCTAAAATTTTCGGATTCATAAATGAGATGGCGAGAGGAATCAGGAAATGTCTCACTTTCGTAATACATCAAATTTCATCTTAAATTTTCGGAAAAATAATACTCAAGCCCTTGTAATTTGGGAGAAAATGTATTTCTACAGATCTAAAAGTACTATGGATAGCCTAAAAAGAAACCGTCGTTGGGTGCCTGTATATTGGGCACCTCAGTCGTGCATCGCTCTCCCATGATTGAATTCTTGCATGTTCTTGGCAAACTCTGGCTTTTACTTTTTAAATTAACTTCAATCAACCGCATAAATGGTCAAGTATTCTTAAGTGTTTTTCTCGCCAGAAAGGTGTGTTTTCCTTTCGAATAAACGAATGAATCGGGAGTTGAATCTCCCTAGCTCTCTTGCTCACCATCGGCTAATCATGAACGTTCGAAAGAAGTAGACTGGTTTCCATACGCTGATTGGAGAATCTTGATCAGATGGCCTTAGCGCGCGAAAAATGAAAAAGAAGCCGCGGTGTGTTAGTGTGTTGTGTCCTGACTTACCAACTTGGGGAGGGCTGTAGTAGGAACTTTGTTCGTTTCGTTTTCCTGATCCTCTATATACGACTTGTGTGCACGGTATGAAAGAGTTTTGGAGGGTTTCCCCCCAGGTGTTTTTTGAGAATTTTACAGAAGTGCGAAATATGTTCGAAACTCAGTTTCCTCGGTCCAAGCATATGTTGGAGAGCTAGAAAGCCCGGGAAAAGGATGAAAGCACCAGCCTCGAGCCCAAATAACGTCACAAGACAAGCAACGCAGAGGCAAAAAAGAAGACGACTGCTTAGAATTTTCTTGGGTTTACGAGAGATCGCTTGCTGCTTCTTTATTGAATTCGATTTGTTTTACACGCACGTTTCAAAACTCTTGAAATCAGGACTTTGCAAGTCACTCCAAGGCAATAACTTCCAGCCTGGGATTATGAATACGTGAGGGCACGTAACCAGCACATAGACCTGTAGGTCCACGTCTACAAATTGTTGGCTTGATCACTCGGCTTGTAATAAATTGTGCATTGTTGGGTTGAGCTAAAAAACGTAAGAGTTCAAAGTGTTAGTGAGGTTAGAGCGTACTTACCCTGCGAAAACAGTTTCCTGCGATCTTCCTAGATAAGTGCTTATTAAGTCATGCGTGCAATTTTTAGGATATGTGGAAGTGACAGTCAGCCAGGCCTACAACTAGTCGAAAAGCTAGCTACGCTGCATGGAATAAACTCTAAGGACTACTATTTAAACAGAGTTTTGCCAGTAGTGTTTAACAAAACCGCTTTATAAGGCATTTTCATTTTGCCCAACACTTTTATCTAAACGCCGTTTATCTTGAGAGGTTTCATGAAAGCATAGAGCCCCGACTAGAAAGCCGCTACTTAAGATAACACACTAAAACCAAGCGATCTGAAAGTCCAAAGATTTCTTAAACCCCGGCCTAAGTTAAACCTCGTTTAAAAAACCGACCCTGAAAATCGCTTGTTTTGGCTTTCATTGCATGGTAAAATCCAGAACTGGCTGACATAAGTAATCAATATAGAGGAATGTAGCATTCTAATAGTCCAAAAATCAGTTTCAGTTGAACAGATTTGTCACAAAGTTCTGCGCATTCCTATTCAGGAATACGACCAAGCTAACGCACACTAAATTAAACCCGGGTCAAACTTCGAGCTTCACATGTGATCAAGGCAGTGATACTAATGGGCAAAATCTATTGTTCTCATTCATTAGCACTATGAAGTTCAACGTTCGACCCGGGCCTAACAATACATATCACAAGAGAGTCAACCTCCGTCACGTGCATCCCAGAGACTCGTGAGTCAGCAAACTTTTCATTTCTAAAGAATTACGAGCCGTGACTTTGTCAACGAGTTGTTTGGAATGTGATTGGATACAAACTTAAGACCGCCTATAATCCGGTTGGATGCACCTTATATTTATATAAGAAAAACTTGGCTCAAATGTTCAGAATTAAGCTGACTTGCAGTGCAGAGGTTTTCACAGTCTTCTGTTGTAACAACTATCGGCTACGTGAACTACTAGGTGAAGAACAAAGCCAGGGGATGAAAAGCAAACACAACAAGGGTCTTTGCTACGAAGAAGCCATGCGAGAAGCCTTTAGTGAGATCTTTCAGAATCTTAGGGAGATTGAAAACAACAATGAGAAGAAATTTAAACTGAGACAGAAAATGGATTTCGAAAGAAGAAGAGGTAGCGCTCCTGCTTTATCACTACTTAAGGAGGAAAAGACATTTTTTAGGCAACCAGCACTAAGGCGAGGCTCTGCACCTGTCCTGCTTAAATCAAGTCCCACGAAAAACATGACATCATCATCTCCTGAAAGACATTTGATTGACGATGCGGTGAATGTTTTCGTGTTTTGACGAAGTGGAGACCAGCTATGATTATGGTTGCAGTTTCGACGCATAGTGAAATTACCGCAGGCGAAAGTGGAAAGCTGAGTGAGATACGCACATGTCGCAGGATAAATGAAGATGGAAAGCTGAACGATACACACACAGCAAAAGACAGAGTTAATAACAGTTAAGCTGTCTTTATTGGCTGCAGGTTTCACCAAAGTGAATGCTGTGTACAAAATAATTCATGTAGCGTGCATAGAAATGCAAGAACTCCAAATTCCTGAAAGTTATACTTAGCCAGGCTTTATACGGAAGAAAAACGTTTTTTGACTGAAAAAGAGTTGTTCATACAGTAATTAGGCCGCTTGCTTACTAATTAGCATTTGACATGTATTATTGAGTGACCCCATTTTGATTAATGAAATAAAGGTCTGCTGGTGCGTATTTGAGAAGCAAAATATGTTGTATTTTATCTGGTAAACTCTTAAAACGAATGCACAAAGGGCTTTCTAAATAAAACAAAGCAGTTAATTTACAGGATGCAAAACTCAGAGAAGCATAGGTTAAAGGTAATAATCGGTTCACATTTAACGTTTGTTGCCTTTTTCAGCACGTTCGCGCAGACGCTGCAGTCTTATGTAAGACATAATCTGTTCTTCCTCCCTTTCAGATCATCCTTCTCAAAAACGTTCTGCAGTTCTAGACCTACAAATTAACATGATGTTTAACAGTTCTGAGTTTATGAATACTTAGAAACCCACAAAGGTGGCTAGAACATGACTAATGGCTGGAGGGGTTTTAGATCTAACATGTGCACGTGCAGCAATTTTAAATGGATTATCGTTAGAGTATGACCGTTATAGAACAAACCACTCAATTTGCAGACGTAAAGTGATTCCTTTTGGTAAATATATCTATGGTCTACTTTAGTTCCTGAAAATACAGTCAGAGCTTTTCCTAGGCCTCTTAATTCTTATCGGCTGCATAGTGCCGAAAGCGAAACAAACTAAATATGCGGCTAAAATTACCAAACTTTAGTAACTTTTTGTGAACGGTTCGGTGACGTGAGAACTACAGTTAACTACCAAATCGTGACGCCGAGGAATGTAAACTATTATGCCGGTTTAACTCACCGGCTCAGCTACTGCAGGTATAGTTATAAAACGATTATCGTACAATGACACTGTTATAAAGCGGAGTTATACATTATATTATTAGTACCGACAACCAGTAATTTAAGTTTTTTTTTTCGCAGGGTGTATAAACACAGTTAAACAATAGTGTCATTGATACGATAAAGGAAAAAGATGCTAGGGCTCCGCTTAGAATGAGTTGTTATATTGGGTAACGAAACAATAGATGAATAACCCTAGCACTGTCCCTAGCGCATAAAACAACAGCAGGTGTGTGTTTCAAAAGCCGCAGATTTCTAAGGAATCTGATAACTTAACTTCATGGCAAAAGATGTGTGCGGCTTACATAAGACGCTTCTTACGTAAGATTCGTCTTATGTAAGACGTTACGAGCGTGCCGTAAAAATGGCATTAATTAAACGTGAATTAAGACGCGACTTAGGCTATAATCATGCACACTAGACTATGCCCGAAGGCTTTTCGTGCCGACACGAAAAGATATCCGGCTTGGCGTGAACATCTATAATCCGAGATCGGCGGGCCAAAGCTCCGCTCCGTAGGAAAAATCACGCGGGAATCACCGTTCTTCTGTGTGAACATAAGCCTTATCTGTTCTACCCTATCTGGTGTGGTTTCCGTGCGGCGGCGCAAAAGCTATCAGGCATAGTGTAAACATAGCATTAGAAAAGTGTTACAGGAGCTAAGGGTTCGCGTCTAACCTAAGTAGCGTTTGATCTACATCTGTAACATTCAAGCTAACATTATATGCACCATTTATGTTCGCAAGATTTCCTTCTTACTACATGCATAAGTCGCACCTCGTCACTCCTGAGGTCACGTGTTTCTGCTCCGGTAATTTCGATGTATAATTTGTTGATTAATTTGATATAAAAAGGGCTCACAACTCACTAAACCAGGTTGACCCAGGTTTCCCAAGAAAGAAGTTTATAAAAAGAACAACTGCTAGAAATAACATTCCCTTTGAACATATCCTGAAAATGCTGAGTAGGCCTTTCCAGATTCTGCTCGGCAACTTTTTAGCAACTTTTAGGATTTTGAGCAACTTTTTTGTCAGAGAGCAACTTGTAGCAACTTTTCTGAAAACTAGCACTTTTTTGGTAAATTTTGGGCTATCTTGAACCAAAATGCTGAATAACCCCTCTTTTTTTTGTAAATAAACAAGTTAAAATTCTAAATATTTTTCTAGTAAAACTCATATTTTTACCCTTTGGATGGGTATCCTGTGGACGTGGTAATTAACTGCAATTAATCGTGGGGCGCCCCCCACGAGAAGGGAAAAGCCCTGGGAACGAGGTTGGGGTAGCCTGTGGACTGTGTGTAAACAAAATGGCGGACGACACGTTGTCTTCCGAAGACGAAGAAATCGAAAACTCCATGATCGCACGAAAACAACAGTTAGCTAGATTTGTAAACCAGGCCCGGGTTGCTCGAACATGGTTAGTGCTAACCAGCGTTAAATACCATCGAAACCTATACATTTTGATACCTCTTAACCAACGGTTAGCGCTAACCAGGCTTCGAGCAACCGGCCCCAGATTGTTACACTAACTGTGTAACTTTTTGTAACTAGCCCGGCTTACATGCAACTAAAGGTTGCCTAATTTGTTGTAACTAGTTACTTAGTTCTACCTTAATGTAACAAAGCAATTGTTATTAAAATTAGAAATGTTGTCTTAAAAATATTCGAGCAACTTTACAAAATTTTTGAGCAACTTTTGAGCAACTTTTTGGCATATTTCTTAGCAACTTTTTAGCTTTTTCGGAGCAGAATCTGGAAAGGCCTAATGCTGAGGCATTGGCAAATATGTTTATTGTTGGAAGTATTTTGAATAAATGGTAAAACAATTATGCGCATAAGCAAAAAAGTGGACTTCTTTTTTTGTTTTTTGGTTTTTGCTAATCTAGTTCGATTTTTTGCTTGCTGTCTTTTCCCCTTTGCCTATCTCAGTTTATAGGCAGTTTTGTTGCCCACTTTATCGTCCTTCTTTCGCATGAAATGTTGGCTGGCTTTCTTTCCAACAAAGGAAGAAATTTGATCTGTAAAGAGTAGTAGGTGAATGGCAAAATTGGTAGTGGATTTTTTCCCCAAATGTTGCTTGTTTTTGTCTGTAACTGTCAGAATTGGTCAAAATTTACTATATGAGGTACCAGTGGAAAGCTTCATCCTCGCAAGAGAGGATTAGCCCCTTTATCCTCTCTTGATCCTCGTTAATTTTGCTAATTAACATTTTAAAATCTTTAATGAAAATCATGATGGGTCCAGGAAAAATAATATGCATGGGCAGGAGCCCTCCTGGCATGGGTCCATATGGACCCAAAACGGGCAAAAGTAGCACGCCTGCTGAATTTGTGCTCTTTTAGTTGTTTTTTTTTATCGCTATTATTCCTTATACTTTGTTAAATGTAGGCAAACCCTCCTGGAGTTGAGTTATTCCTAGGGACCATGTCCAAGTTCGACCCGGGTTTCATTTAGGGGGTGCTAGCCTGGTCGTGTTCCTGAATAAGAATACGCAGAACTTTGTGACAGTCTCTTCGACTGAAACTTATTTTTGGACTATTAGAATGTTTCAGAATCATCTTATTGATCACATTTTGAAAATATATTTAAAAATGCTACTTTGGGCCTTACAAATAATAAATTATTATCAATTATTATTATTATTTGTGCACATGTAGAAGACGCGATCGTAACGCACTTTGATTGGAACAAATAAGAACTCACACACGCCGCGGCTTCATTCCCCGTTCATTTTTGTTTTCCGCGCGCTGAGGCCATGTGATCAATATTCTCCAATCAGCATATGGAACCAGTCCACCTCTTTCGAGCGTTCGCGCACTTACAAATGGCGGACGTAATGGTGAGCAAGAGAGCTGCAACTCCCGATTCATTTCGTTTATTCGAAAGGAAAACACACCTTTTTGGGGAGAAAAACACTTAAGATTACCTGACCATTTATGCGGTTGATTGAAGTTAAAGAAAAAGTTAGAATTTCCGATGAACAAGCGAGAATTCAATCATCCGAGAGCGATAAACTTGAAGAAGAGGTTCTGGCCTGAATACACGATGTAAGTTTTAATGGACTTGCTATTGACTACTGTATTTTGTTATACTATAACTGTAAGGTTAGATGGGCTTGCTTTCTGGTTTTTATTTTCTACTTCTACTCAAGCATAATATATATATACCAAGTACTTTGCCTCGACATTCAAGTTTTTTCTGGTGAAAGTATACCACAGGACACCCAAGTTCGGGTACTTATTGGAAGTGAGGTGCTGCCCCATGAAGAAAAAGAAAAGGCTTAGACAATCAGTAATTACCCGGCCTTCCTTTCAGGAAGAGAAGGGTTATAAAATGGCCTGGGTTTTTCCTTTGTCGTCGAATCGCCCTCTGCTCTTTGAAGCGCATGCTTGTACTGGCAGAATATCACGTGATCGATTTCCGGCAAATTCTTTGGCTTAGAGGCAAAATCCCCTTGACATGTTGTTGAGAACAAAAGGCTGCCAGCTTTTTTGTCAGTGGGTAGTGTTAACGTTGTGGTTTTGTTTCCTCTATGAGAGATCGATAATCATTTTGGTCGTTGTTTAGTTATATGTGTTGTCTAGAGGATAATGCATCCCAGACCTGTCACACGTACACAGTGGCTTGATCCATTTAATCAAGATTGGTGTTGCGATCGCTGGTTGCGAGAAGAAGACATGCTAAAAAGGTGGGCAATTTTCACTGATTATGTTTAATAGTGCAAGTCGCAAGAATTTATATAGCAGTTGAAGAAACACTATTGGGCTTTGTTTTGGCAAGTAAGCGTGTACCAAGGTGAAAGGAAGAAGCAGAGTTGTAAAACGGATGGATCATTTTTGTGTGAAATGGTATAACTTGACTGTTCGATCTGTACAAACAGGTCCACACACGTCACTGTAAACACCTTAGAAATTTTATGCTTTTATAGCTTTTATCACAAAAT